TTTAGCAGAGCACCTTTCCAATGTATTAAAAAATATTTATTCCTATATATTTAAATTGTTAATTTTACAGTAAATAAATAATTGTTTTCCACAGTTTTTTATATTTTTTTAAACCTTAAAAAAAATTTTTTTTTGAACTGTACAAATGCGATTATTAATTGTTATTGTGTTTTATTCTTTAAAAATTTTCATTCGTGATTGAAGTGATTTTTTGACTTAAGGACGTTTTTCACATAGTTTGTGGGGGAAAAGTTCAGAGAAGTGATAGGAACGCTAATGTGAGCAGTAAAGCTAGCAATTGTTTTACTCATGTGTATGTACTCACATATGTGCTTTTACACACACTTGCTCCCCTCTTTCTAAATTCGTTTCAAAACCAACTTATAGGTAGGTCTATTTAAAAATTTGATAGGTTTATTTTAAAGTAATCTTTTCTACCCAAAAAATTGAGAGATTCCTTCAAATCATATAAATGCCATTTAATGTGATTTTTTCATAAGGTTACATATTCAATATTAATTTTTTCAAATGTAACATATATAAAACAATGGTACAGCCAAAAGCTGTACTACAAGGATGGTTTTTTAATTACATTTTGGATATTAAATATGGACTAGGAATAAGTATGGAATCGTACGTGATAGATGTAAGCGTGAAGTTACAGATGTAATCAGCCTAGGCAGTAGGAAGTTGTTCTAAAATCACTGAAAGATTCGATGAAAGCGCACAGTCTCGTACTGGCCAGCCTATACATTATTTTTATTGTATTGTGCCGTAATATATTGTTTATAATCGTTAACTCATTAAATATTAATTAAAATTATACCCAATCAACGTAGATTTATTCATTCCCACGATAATTGAAGCACCTTTGTACACAATATTGTTTCACACAAGGTATTTGTATACTCGAAATTATATTGTTTGCCATAAAATTTTACAGAAGTATAACTTCAGATTTGGGTACCCAAGCACCCACTGTCCACTAGTTTTTTTTCTTTCCTTTTTTTTTTTTTTTTTTTACTTTTCGGGGTACTTTGGGATAAAGATGTAGAATTTTTTCAGGCATCACTGCACTTCGGATGATTGGGCATTTTTGTATCATAGACATCGATATACTTTAGGAAATTTTCCGATATTCACGCTGAAAAAAAACTGGTAATAATTGTAGCTTCGTCAAGTATGTAGATTGTTGCTGACTGAAGCGATGACAGTGAAAAAAAAAAAAAACTTTTTTGCCGGTGTAAACCAATTGAGCGTTTTGATGGAAAAACATTTTATTTACGCTTACATAAGAAACTGCATTTGATATACTGTAAATTACGCATGACAAACTACTTATAAAATATATCTCTAGTGTTAAAACGATTTTTATACGGAAATTAAATGCTCATACCTATTTGTGTGAGTAAGATTCCAAGAGAATAATATTAAATGAAAAATTATAGTGCATTCAGCTTTTTTTCCCTAGATTCATGCATATTTAATTACTATTACTCTCATTCAAACCTTTATCTTTCAAAGAATTTAATACTTAAGTACTTTGCATTATTTGAAAAAAAAAATCGGTTGTTGATCAATCATTACAATAAATTGTGTAACTTTCCATTGGTATAGATGGTCAGGTTGTGCGATATTGAGACACGTATAAATTGTGTCTCGATCAATGCTGACATTGGTATGCTGAAATCTACTTGAAGGACAACTAAATTTCTCCGACTAATTACGCTTTTGTACACGTAAGGTAACTTATACACGGAATACTACTAAAACAAAAGTAGTGCAGTGATATTTACACGTAACACCAAAAATGATATTTTTTGAGATCTGTAACTCTTTCACAGGTTTGTATTCATTTACCGTGCCACAAAAAGTAAGTTTTTAATGGTTATACGTACAACTAATCCATTATCTAACTATTTTCAAATGTTGGGAAATATTTCAAAATGCATCACGTTTGAGTGTTACCACGAAAGAATGCACCAAATATATCCTTAATCAAACGTAAACTACTTGAGTTAATCCCTCGAGGTAAATCCATTGTAATGATGCACCGCGTAATAATCATGATAAAATACTTGAAGCCCAAATTTTCATTTTAGTACCCCAAAAAGTAGCCGATTTACGCGTAACTGCATTTTTCGCTAAAAATACAAGACACCCCCGTGGAAACAGTCGCGCGTAAAAAGTAATTTATTCACAGTGCAACATCTCACCACTCCAGACGAAATATATACAGACACGAGAAAAAATCGCTCACCTGAGCACGCCTTCTGGAAGCTTGCCCGTGGCGTCGTAAAACTCGAAAGCCCACGTGGTCAAGTTGCGCAGGCCAGCGACGATCAGCCGGCACTGCTCGCGGCAGACCGGATCGTCGATGCGACCGATCAAGCTCGACAAAAAATCGAGGTCCCGATCGATGAAGGGCAAAGTCGAGCCATTCTCGCCGAAAATCGGCCGGGCGATCCCTGCCATCTCCGTGCCATCTCCCCGGACCAGCAAAAATACGCCCAGCAGCAACACGACTGGGCCGGATGTCAGATTCATGTCCCTTTTGTTCTTTTTTTTTTCCCGCGATTTTTAAAAAACACTCCCTCGGCACTTATTTACCCTCCCTCAAAGCTCAAGATCACCGGGTGCGCGACTCTGTATCCACCAAAAAATAAAAATCTTGAAAACACCTTTCGAATCACTCGTGGAAGAGAAAAATGCCTCAGCAGCGACAACAAATTGTAGGAGCGCGTTCACATCGTTTCCCGCGGCTGCAGCACCTGAGCTCGGCAAAGAGTCGCGCGCGAATGGAAATGAAAATCGGTTCGAGAAGTAAGGAGCGCTTTTGGCGCGTCAGCGGCCACGTTGGGCGGTCAAAGAGCTCAGGTGGCGAGGGAAAGGCGGCCTTGACTGGTCCCACCGGTGCACTGCCCACTGGCCGGCTGGGCCCCGCGGCCTCGTGCTTTTGTATGGCGCGATATCCTCCTCGTGCCGTTGCTATTGCACTGCGCGTTCTCCGTATACCTCTTTTTATTATTTACCTTTTTTTTTTCTTTTTCGCAGGAGTTTGCTGACTTTGCTATTGATACGCGGACGATGCTTTGCGAAAGGAAGAACCCTGTGAGGAAGGGTACATGAACTCGGCCGGCGAACCGGTATGCCGGTTTTTTCCGTAGTGAAACAACTAAACACCTTGACGTTAGTGGTTCATGACATTTTATACTGTTTTTTTTTTTTTCCTTTTTCACAGAAAAAACGAAATCAGATTAGCTAAAAATGCCCAAAAAGTTTTACGTGCAAGTTGACTGGTTTTGTCTGGCGACTCACCAGCTGTGGAGTAAAAAATCCGGCTTATACGAGGGTTTATGGCTATTTTTTAAAAATTTTTTTATTAAAAAGAAAATATGACAGTGAGTTCTCGTGTTAAACGACTGACGTTTTATTGCCGGAATTGTGTAATGATAATATTAGTAAAGACCGAGATGTGCATGCTGTCGGATAGTGGTAATTGACACGTCAACCGGTATTGTTGTAGGACCGAATGGTTTTTGTGAAACCGAAAATTTAAATATTCTTCTGGGTTCCTAGCATTCGAGGGACGGTGCGAAACGCGTATAGGAAGAGCAAAAAATTTCTTCAAGGAGGAGGAAGAAAAACCTAGTTTTATTTTCATCATACGCTTTGTGAAGTGGTTATAAAGTTGTTTGAAATAGGCAACGTCCGATTCATCAGATCCATAGATCAAAGATATAAAAATAAAGCTTCATTAAAATGAAATATATACGTAAAAAACCTCTTCAGTCTTGCCAGTTTAAGATTGTAGGAAAAAAGAACTAAAATTTATAGGATTCATAGCAACTGAATTTACCAAAGAATCACTTAGTGTAATATTTTGAATATTCGATATGAATATTATGAATAATTCTCTCCATCTTCTTTTTGTATCGTCACACCAATCTTATTTTTAGTCAAGTCACGATCCACAGTTAAACTTACTTACTTATAAAATAAGACAGACTAGAGAAATTCAAAGCTAAGACTAAGGTTAAGTTAATCAGCTTTGTTGATTCGAACAGAATGACAGCGTCTGCCGCAGACGCAGAGTTCTCAGGCTCATTGTGCCTCAAGCGCGGTGCCCATCATGTCCCCTAGAAGCCATGTTTTGAAATAAATATAACTTTTTAATGGTGGAAGATAAAAATTTTTTTTTCAACGGATCTTGAAAGTAAATCAAACAGACTGTTGGAAAAACTTCACGAGATAATTACTGGAGATAATTTTTATGGTAAAAAGAAGCCGTGAAGCTATCATTGTCCGCAGGGTTATTTATTAAAACAAATTATTTAATTACTTTTTATCATGATACTCTTTGAGGAAAATAGTGTTGATATTTTACCATGTAAAAAAATTTATTTGAGAGAAAAACATTAATTTTTTTATTGAGTACATGAGGTGCCCGAGTTACCCTACAAACTCACGCTGCCCCACTATCCCTTATGTACGTTAAAAGTGTGTGGATGACGAAAAACTGATGGTCGAAGCTGCAATTGCATCAAATTTTTTTTTCTTCCTCGTTTATTCTTGCCACGACAGCACTGTATACGGAAGAGCGGCGAGTGTACGCTTTGGACGTATAATCTTCCGCTTAATTTATAAACGGGAATTCAAGTATGTGCGTCTTTCGAAACCGGATATGCGGGTAGTTTGTTCATTGTTTACGTCGTTCGCAAATACTCGCTGTCGTTTAATTTTTTGGGAATTCAAAATGCACGTGCCTGCACAAGTGTACTCTAAAAATGGCAAATGGAAATGCAACTGATAATTTATTGGCACAAATTATTTCCAGCTCGTTATTATTAAGGATCTTTTACTTTTTACCAGAAAATTTTTTTCAATTTTATTTCATATCATTATTTTTCAAGGGTATTGCAGCATTTTGGGTTATTTTTAATTTTTTTTAATATGGTCTTCTTTTCAAAATTACAATCCATACTGCTATAAGATATTACAATAAATTGTTCTGTGAATTGAGCGGCACACCTTGATTATCAGTAATTAATAATTACTTTTGGATAATCATCTAAGCAAGAAGAAATTTGCTGTCATGTCTTGCATTACTTTAAATTTTGGTGTAATTTTGGCAAATAAATAACTTTTTTTTAGTTCGAGTTGGTTTTATAGTTTTCGTAGTATATGTTTTACAGTTTATCAGTAGATTTTTAGCCATTTATTGTCTCTTTGTTCATGTAATATTTTAATAGTTTCATGAGTCATTATATATCTTCAATTCAATACTGAGTATAAATAATTAGAAAAAAACCATTCTGCTGAAAACAAAAATTCACAACTGAAAAAACTCGCAAGCAAACACAAAACTTGCATTTTCGAGCCACTGTGAAACAGAAAAAACGAAAATTTCGTGTCCTGAATCAAAAGAATTGGTCGAAAAAATCCTACGATGTAATTATATTTTACACTAAAAAAAATTTTTTTACAAAACGGTACAAATAATCGGAACAAAACTCTACGAGCACTAAAATTTTTTTAAAGACAGATCTCCGACCGCGTTAATAATCTACCGACTCAACGAACTCCAAGCTGCTCTCTTGTGACGTTCCACATTGTTTTTTCTGACCTGTTTTTGCACATCACATATACGCACCCGTCAAGGATTCACGTATCATGCGTAATTATTTTGAATTAACTTTTACGAGCATAGTATATTGTTTTTTGTGCAGTCGTGGAAAAATTGCCAAAGAAATGACGCAGAATGTTTTGCGCGTAAACACCCGAAAGACGAGGAAAAAAAGCCTCGAAGGATATTGTTTCTACGCTGAAAGAAATCCAAATGATGCGGAACACGTGAATCGCTGACTGCATCATGGGTATTCGCACAGTACACGTAATGTTTTTACAATCTTGCAAACAGTGCAAAAGGAAATGATTGTCGTTAGCTTCGAAGAAAGTTAAATCATAGCCGGCCAAAAGTGGAGGCACACGAGACATATATACACGTATATACGGGATCTCATCGCAGAAAGTGATTAGCATATAATGTATACACAGGATGATTTTTCGAGAGGCTCCCACTTGTACTACTCTATATATATTATGTTGTGGTATAACAAGACGTGCTATCTAAGCTGCCGCCGGCCTTATGAATAATTGCTTATTGCGCATTGGAAGATACGGAGACCAAGTTGGAGGGGGTGTGGTGGCCGCAGAAAGTGAAATTTAATCGGCTCGTTCCGACGACTCTGATCGAGATTTCGCGGCCTTGGACCGATCGCCGTTTGATAGACAGCGGGTTTTTATAGATGACACGTTTCTAATCACCTGCCGTTCCTGCTAGGACTGTAGTCATCAATAAGCTCCAAACCATAATTTCGTTTGGAAAGTTGCGCAAACTGGGGACTTCACATCAATCGATTCATGAGTATATTATTATTATGTCGTAATAATATCAATAATAATAAAAATAAAATATATTTAAACAGTTATAGATTGACAAATGTACAAAACTTGAATGTATAAGAAAACTGATACTGGTATGATCATTTTTCACACTCAAATAATTTTTCATCGTATCTGAACCGTGGTTTTTTTTTATTTAGTATTTTTTAAATAAAATTTGTATACAAATTTTAATCATTTATTGCAAGCAATGACTTTTTTACTTTTACTTTTATGAATAATCCATCGTATAGTTAAACTTCAGGTGATTTTTTAAATATACTGTCTATAATTGATTTGTGAAATGCACCCGAAATATACTTATTATACGAAATAAAACAAACAGACCGACGACACACAATAACAAACATAAAATGATCACAAAAAAAGTTAACCAAAGCAGTAGGTTTTGAAAGTTTTCATAATTTATGAGCCACGGCTTAAACTGAATTAATTTAAAGTCCACAACGAATTCTAATGAAGACTACGCATGCCGTAACGCTCGACTTGAGCAATGACGGGGTCCATGCAACAGTATAATTTTTTTTTTTTTTTTTTTTTTGGTACGTAAGATTCTTTGTGGGGTGTTTCGCATCTCCTAATAAAATTCAGAATAGACTTTCTTTATGCGCGGAGAAAGTAACAAAAACTTACCTAATACACGTTTGGGAAATAATTAAAATTATCAAACTCATGGTTATGTATTATTCATTAATTTTATGACAAGAGGTATGATATTAGTATATAAATATATTTTTGTATTCATAAAAAACTAAAATAAATAACAGACAATAAACGATATTGCTATTTTTATATTATTGTACCTTAATTATTGCAATGATCATTTTTGCTGAGAAAATCGGTGGGGGGGGGGGTCCAAAAACTCAAGATAGCATTTGAATTTCGAGCGGTTATACGATTTTTATATGCTAGAATACATGTTTATCAGACATATTTTTTCAATTTTGTCAAAGAATTAGAAACGTTATCATAATATTAACAACGAACTCGTTTGAACAATGTTACAAAATGTGTAATGCAACAGTGTAAGGCTGCGTAACTAATAATAATAATATAAGCCTTAAGGTAAAATAAATACCAAACCTAGTAAGAGAATAGATAGATACCATAGGTATGACATTTTTTCAAAGAAGAAACGTTAATAATCGAATAAGTGTATTTACACGCTACCGTTTGACTCCGTAAAAAATTCACAGGTTAATATTATACGACTGTTGAAAATTACGAAAAATAATGCACATAGCTCCTCAAAAGATATAGAGCTACGTTTCCTCAATCTTCGGTAATGACGGCAATAGGAAATTC